TCTTTTTTTTTTTTTTTTTTTTTTTTTTGACAGGCAGAGTGGACAGTGAGAGAGAGAGAGACAGAGAGAGAGAAAAGAGAGAGAAAGGTCTTCCTTTTTACCGTTGGTTCATCCTCCAATGGCCACTGTGGCTGGCGCACCACGCTGATCCGAAGCCAGGAGCCAGGTACTTCTCCTGGTCTCCCATGCGGGTGCAGGGCCCAAGGACTTGGGCCATCCTCCACTGCACTCCCGGGCCACAGCAGAGAGCTGGACTGGAAGAGGGGCAACCGGGACAGAATTTGGTGCCCCGACCGGGACTAGAACCCGGTGCCCATATGGGATGCCGGCGCCGCAGGCGGAGGACTAGCCTTGTGAGCCGCGGCGCCGGCCACCATTAAATCTTTACCGTTAGGGGAGCTGAGAAAAGGAGGATGCTCTCAGAGTGCTCTTAGTGCCCCAGGACGTTTTCCGACACGTGGAGGGCAGACGCTGTGTGCCCTCTGAGAGGGGCTGTGGTCATCCTCACTGTCCACGCCCTCTGAGAGGGGCTGTGGTCATCCTCACTGTCCACGCCCTCTGAGAGGGGCTGTGTCATCCTCATTCTCCATGCCCTGCAGTTCGTGTTGAACTCTGCACAGAGAGCTGATTGTTGGGAGAGGTAGTTGGCCGTGTCTGTTCAGTTACAGATTGACTGCACTCAATTTTTAATAAGAAGTTGGGTGTTTAGGTATGATGGACTTACTTTTCAGCATCTTGGGATTGTAAGGATCGAGTGCTGGGTTGAAAGGCTGGGCTGTGGGGTGTTTGTGTTTGTGTTTGTGTTCGTGAAGGCTGTCGCTGCTCCAGGAGAGCCCTGGCATCAGCCCGCTCCTGCTCACCGTGATGTGCCTCGACTGTCCCTGCTGCTTTCCCACTTACGAGCTTTGTGTTAGTCTTTCAATTGGATTTAATGCTGTTTAAATGATTTGTGAGTGACGGCTTAGAAATCTTGTGAAAGACCCTGAGGGGGGCTCTGTACGGCACGCACCGCTCTCCTGCCCCTCCGCTGGTGGTTGGTGCCAGCCCCTCCCCTATCCGCAGGGTTCAGGAGGAGCAGCCTGGTCTTCCTGTTGCCCCTGAGCTCTGTTCTCAAACCGCCTTCTGAAAACAAAGGGGACCACTCAGTGCTTGAAGGTGCAACTAGGAACAGTGGATTTTTTTTTTTAATTAACAGCTTTTGGCTAGTCAGAAACCCTGACCCCGCTGCCCTTCCAGTCACAGAGCTCTTGCTATTTCGGATGAGTTATCCAGCCCCAGATTTTCTCTCTGCACCACTTGAAAACTGATACCAGTTACCGGTCAAGTCCGTGATCAGATGGCCTTGGATTGTTTTGCGGGAATCATGGCTAGAAGCTGAAAGTTTAAAATACACATTTCCAGCTCAGAACATGGAATTCCTGAGAGAGAAAGATCCCTGCATCATTACTCAAATACTGTTTTCCTTATCTCCTTGTGACTTGGGTTTAGAAGTGGGTGTGAGTATGAGCCCATTAGCCTTGTGTGCAGGATTAATGAACTGTCTGTGCAGTTGGATTCCTAATGGAAACCTGAGGAAAGCAACTGGGTCCACGAGCCCCTGAGCCTGGCTTGTTACTGTTGCCTGAAGCACAGAATTAGAGATTCTGTGTTCAGGGCGGTGTGGCCGAGGTGGGCGTGCAGAGAGGCTGGCCTCAGTGGAGGTGATGCACTCTGAGGTCTCTGGAGAGAGCCACAGGGCAGGTGTCCTCTTGCCGGGTGGTAACCAGGGGAAGTCAGGTGGGATTGGTGCTCCTGCAAGGAGCTCACTTAGTCTTCCCCAAATCATTACTTAGACAGTGATGAAACAGTTTTAAGTTTCCATGGTTCACACTGTGCCTTTTTCTAAATTCTCAGTGTTATATTCTTAAGTGTTTTGATAGTTCTTTCTCTAACTGTGCCCTTTCTTTTAAAACCTAATAATGCCATCCTTGTTTCCCTTTCTCTCTGTTTCCGTTTTTGCCTCTGTGTCATTCCCAGTATGAGCTGGTGCCCCTCTGGTGTGCAGTACTCGGCCGCCCTGAGTGCTGACTGTAATTACAGAAGGTATGGTATCCTCACCTGTCCCGCCACCTGGCGGGGGACTGTCAAGTGTGGCACCTGGGTGTTTGGCTTGGAGCTGGCTTCTGTGTGGCTGTGGTGCATATGGGCGGCCTGCTGTTGCCTCTGCTGGGGTCACTGCTGATAGGGGAGGGGTGGCACCTAGGAGTGGCAGTGCCCTGAGCGTCTGGTTTGTCTCCAGTGGCTGTCAGACCTGGTGTCTTCTGCTGGCTCGTCTTTGTGGAATGGCACGCCATGTCTTTGGGGTCTGTCCCAGTTCCCAGGACCTAGGAATTCCCATATCCTGAGCAGAACGATTGGAAAAGAAAGGCAGCTAATGAGGTGCATTGGTGTCTGCTTCGCCTCCAAAGCTGTCAGTCTCCTGACTCAGCATTCAGAGGCTCCCCGTGCTGAGCAGCTGGACCTCACGGCTCAAACACCCTCAGGCTTGAGTTTCATGGTAAACTCTGATCTGGCTTCCTCGGGCTTTTCAAATAATTCACAGTAGAACGCTGAATTTGTTCTTTACTGAGTCTCTGCGCTTCCCTGTGGTATTGAAAATAAGCTTGGAAAGACATTTTCCTATGGTTGTGGTTCTGTTCTCGTGTTTGTTCTGTTTACCCACAGTAGAAGATAGAAGCCAGTGGTTTCAGTCCAGGAGTAATTTGTGGGGATAATAGAGGCCTGCACAGGTCTTCGGGACTGGCACGGGGGAGCCCACGATGCCATTTTCCCGAAGCTCAGGTAAACAAGAGTTGCAGGGTACCCTCAAATACAATGCCAGTAAGGGAAGATATGGTCCCCTCAACTGTATTTTGAAATCTTGCTTATTTTAAAGAAATTCCCATTGCAGTTCTAACAGATGTGAATTATTTTAATAAGCAACCCAAGGAGCATACCTCACTGATAACCTCGCTTGGCCTCATGCTTACTGAAAATGCTTTTGCACATTGCAGACCACAAAAATCTTTATCTAAAGGGTTTCATTTAAATTCTGAACACTGTTTGCTTTTCTTCCCTTTATCAGTATCAAGACAAAAAAATGTGAACACTTGGACTTAGTAGCTTTTTGCCACTTACTCTCTACATAGCAGTGTCTGGCCAGGTGTGCCCAGAAGAAAATGCGCATGGGTTACATTTGGGTTTTCTGGGGCTGGACACGCACCTGTGCAGTTACCAGAGGTCACCTAGAACGTAGTTGAATGTAGAGTTGTGGCGTCCACTTAACAGACAAAAGGCGCGTCACCCGGTGTGCTTTCTCAGTTACTCGTGCTCTTGTTTTCTCTGTGGCATCTAATTATTTGGCATCGAAGTGTTAGGTCCTGGTGCAGTTAATTATATCAGGCCAAGGAAAAGCACGCACGTGAGAGGTCAGAACAGTGAGTATGGTATGGTCATGTGGTAGAGAGAAAAACATCTCAAGAAACGGCCTTCACTGGTTCATCGTTGGAATAGGTGCCCAGGTGAGAAGGCGTTCCGTGCAGCATGCTTTCTCTGGGAAGGTGACGCCCCGTGTGCCCTGCTGTGGCCTGGCCACAGTGCTCTGCTGGGGACACGCAGCCGGCGAGGCTTTGTGCCCTTCCAGTCTAGACTCGCAAGCAGAATGAACTGATTCCGTGCTCTGCTCAGTTTCAGTCTGGAAGGCCTGGCAGGAGGAGCTGCTCTGGGAGACAAGCCGTCCTTATCTCTAGAAGGAAGTCCTGCAGACAGCAAAGAGCTCAGATACCCTTTCAGCCGCGAGGAGCGGGGAGGCTCTCTGCTGTCACTCTCGGAAGAGGACCTGGAGTCTGAGCAGAGAGAACACGGGATGCTTGATCGTCAGGTAAGACTGCTGATCAGGAAACCATTCATTTCCAAAGTGTGACCTTCCAAGGAACGTGGAAAGCGAGACTTGTGTCCCCCATTATAAACAACAACCTGCTGCTTCATATTCCTTACAAATTACTGTTCACCCACATAGATTTAAATGTTCATTGAAGCTAACTTTTAAGAATTCAGAAAATAGAGCATTGAGTTTTTTCTGAGGCCTTGTTTTATCACTTGTCAATGATAAAATGAGCCTTGAAATGTGTTCCCAGCCTGTTAAATTTCCCAGTTCTCAAAAACATATCCCAAGGTCTCTGCTTCCTTAGAAACCAATGTCTTGCCACACCTCGTCTGGAAAGTGACTGAAGAGACTGTTTCCTCTCCCTTCCAAAGTTCTGTTTTGTTTTTTGTTTAAAGATTTAGAAATATGGAGCACTTCACAAGTTTGCGTGTCATCCTTGCGCAGGGGCCTTGCTAATCTTCTCTGTACCGTTCCAGTTTTAGTGTATGTGCTGCCGCAGCGAGCACCTCACATTCTTGAGAGAACATTTGCGCTCCCTGCCGTCCTCTCACCTCCTGCCACTCCTGGAAACTCCTCTTCTGAAGGTTATGGCCTTGTCAGCCAATCAAGTGACTTGTTCTTGGTTCTCATCTGCTTGGGCTCTTTGTGAGCTGAGAATTTGAATCGGCTGCCTTTATCACATCCCACTTTATACCTTGTCCTGCTTTCTGCTTTTGGGCAAGGAGACTCTGGGTTAATTCCTGAGAGGATTTGGAGCTACATCTGAATTTTCCCACAGAAACCTTCCTAGTGATATAGAAAGTGGAGCTCCTGTCTTTGACGTGAAGATGGCGGTTCTCTGTGGAATTCCAACTCCTGAGTGTATACCAGTCCCTGGCAATTGCCAGAGAAAAAGTGACCACTTAGGGCCACCTTAGCTTTGTGTGTCATGTTCCATATCCCTCCCTTTTCTGGTTGGCCTGATAATTTTGAAAAGGTTGGAAGCGGCAGAATGTGGTTATTGAAGCAGCTGATTTAGATGTAGTTAGCCAAATGACGGAAGGAAAAATAGGAATGAGTCTGGTGACTGATGAACACAGCTTTTTTTGAGGGTAAATACACCAGAAAATTTAAAACAAATCACATTTCCTGTGTGGGGAATCTTTCGGGAATCATTTGCAAGACCAGATAAACCAGCAGGATTGTGTGTTTGTGAATGGAGTTGTGGTCTTAGAGGGAACAGATCCTTTCAGATTCAGCTTAAGCCCACCTGTGTGAGAACGTCACGCCCCTCTAGGCCACAGGCATGGCTGTGAGCTGAGCAGTGTCCGACTCAGGATTCCCGGTCGTGTGCCCCGCTGCTTCCCGTGTTTTGGAAGCGGACACATCTGATGAGGATATAGAACACTCAGCACTGTTTATGTGATGCCTTTTTGAGACGGATACTTCAGAATTTGACAGTGAGTGACACAAATCACCACTGGTGGCCTTCTGAAGTGCACTGTTGAGCCTTTCTGAATGAAGTCCAAGATCAGTGCCTGCTCTGCTTAGCCTTCTGATCCCCTGCAGGCTTCCCCCCGTGCTCGGCGTTAGAGCAGCTCCTCGGCACGGTTGTGTTGCTCTGGTCTGGACGAGCTGCCTGCAGCTGCTTCCTGTGAAACGCCTCTGTCTGTCTCTGAGGTCATTTTGCAGACCGCACAGCTGTATCTGCCACAGAGCAACTGTTTGCTCAGGCTCCATGGTTACGCACAGGACAGCTCTAAATAATCAGAAGTCCTTGGCTCGGCTGAATCAGTTCTTGCAAGAAAGGGGTTTTCTTTGCCTCCCTTTCAACATGTGTGAGTCATAAGGAGGCAGATTTCATCCTAGTATGATAATTAAAATTGGTTTATGACTAGAATGACTCTCAACGCAGAAGGGTGGTGCCCTCCATCTCCAGAAATGGGCTGCAGGCGCCGTGGGCCTCCTGAGGGTGCTGTGGCAGAGCTTCCCCAGGTGCTGAGATCACATGGCCTTGCAGTTGCTGTGAGCTGGCCCAGGGAGTGAGAGCTTCAGTCACCCTCACGTCCGGGTGGAATCTCCTGTTTAACCTTGGAAAAGGAGGTGAAAGAGATTCAGCTTCTTTGCTGATGCACTGCTGTTGCACTGGGGTCTTACAGCACCTTTGACAGGCATCTCGGGTTCCAGCTGTTTAGACCCCGAAGAACGCTCCTGACGCCCTTGCGTGTCGTTGTGGGTCAGGGACATTGAAATGCTCAGGGGACGAGTACTGTCTGTACGCTGGTATTTGCAGTGCAGTCATTTGTATGTGAGTGTGCATTCAGCGCTGTTTACTAAACGCCCACTGCACTGGCAACGCCTTCAGGTCTCTGTGAAGGCAAAAGCTCTCATCCTCGTGCGTGTGGAGGCCCGGCTGCAACCTAAGGAGCCTCTGAAGAGCCGGGGCCGCCTGTGAGGGTGCAGGCGTGTGCTCACGCAGGAGTGCGGCCGCACGCTCGAGCCCCTTCCTCACTTGTTCTCCACAGATGCGCCACAGATCCAAGCAGCAGGGGTTCAACTACTGTACGGCAGCCATTGCTTCTCCGCTGACGAAATCCGTCTCGCTGATGACGATCAGCCATTCGGGACTGGACAGTGAGTATCCTGCTTTGGAGAAAGTTCGGTGTCTGACGTTGTCACCACTTCTCCTGCCGTGTTTCCCACTTTATACCCCATCACGTCCACCTCACCAGGTGCCTGCATCTCCCTCTGCAGGAGCTCAGGGCTGCAGCAGGAGAGGGGAGCAGGCCCTGTGCTGGGAGCCTGCCTTTTCCTGCCTGCAGCTGAGGCCTTCCCTTAGCTGGTGCCTGGTGCATACTGGTTACATTTTTTATTTTAAAATAATTTTAGACTTGAAAAATAGCTGCAAATAGTCCTCATGGGGGTGAAAACTAGTTGTAGATGGCAGTACAATGAATTCTTACATAGTCTTCACCTGGCATCCCCGGAACATCTGTCTGCATGCCTTTTTCCCTGTGTATCATCACTCTCCTTAAAGTTGTTTCTGAGATACCCAAAGAATAAATCCAGACACCGTGCTGCTGCTTGTCTCCATAATTTAGTGTATATTTCCTAAAAACAGAAATACTTTTTTTATTACAGTGTAAGTCTCCAAATCAGGAAATGAATATTGATAAAAGTTTACTGTTTAACAACATACAGGCCATTTTCAGGTTTGCAAATCTCTCACCCATTTTGCATCCAAGATCCAGTCCAAGAGGACGCATTGAGTTAGGTGGTCATGTCTCCTTGATCTGGAATATCCCTCATGGAAATGCCAAGCTGTGAAGGGCCTATTAGTTCGGCAAGTGCCGAGCGACTATGGTAGCAGCTGAGGGTGCGTGTGCAGACTCAGGCCAACTGGCAGGGACGGTCGTGTGGAGATAGGGCGTCCTGCACTCTGGGCACTGTGAACTAAAGATTCTCAGAACCAGGCCTGACTCAGACACTGCGGCTGGCCACAGATGTTCTTTGAGAAACATGTTGTTTTTCCTTTACGAGTGACTGCCAGCGCTGCCTGGGAGGGCGTTAACCGTGCCTGTGCAGTGGGCTGCTGCACCGTCTTCCGCGCTCCCCCTGTAGTCTCCACACGGGCGGAATGGACGAGTGACAGCTGTGTCTGCCGTTTCACATTTTCAGCACAAATCTGTGCCTAGTGATGACTTCTCCCCAAAGATGCATAGAGGACCTCATAGCCCAGGGGCAGAAACGCATTTTCTGTTCTCATTTGTTAGTGTTTTGTTGTGATTTGGCCTTGGGCTAGCAGTTTTGCTGGTATAGAATGGAAATTATAAATTGTTTCTAGTGGATTTGATGAACCAAAAATAGGAAAGCACCCATACTGCACCAATGTCACGCGCCCTCTGTCTGCAGCCAGCAGACATGTGGCCGAGGGTGTCCTGCCCTGGCCTCAGAGTCTGCCATCGCCAGCAGGGTACACCCCATGTGCCTCTTTCCTGTGAGTGAAACACTTCTTTAACTTCCCTCCTAAAAGCAAGATGGCTTCGACTGCTTGTGGTTGCTACACTAATACTATAAATAATGTGGCTGACTCCAGAAAACACAGTCTTAGAGGTTCTGGCACGTGGAGCTCTTCTTCCTGCTGCTGGGAAATGGGCTTGTGGGCTCACTGAGGACCTGCCGCCATTGGAAGGCTGCTGTCAGGAGAGCCTGGCCTTCGGGCAGCAGGGCAGCACGTCCTGCCTGTGTTGAGTCCGTGCATGCTGGGATTGGCAGAACCCAGCTGTAACGTCGCTGTTTCCCCAGAGCTCCTCCCCCACACAAGCCCTGTGCCCCCTGCCCGGAGCCCCCTGCAGTTCATTGGTTTCCAAGCTGTGTTTCTTGTTCTCTAGAAACATGGTGAGTCCTGCTGGAAATGGTAAAATTCTGTGTGGTGTGCCTGCCCTGGACTGAAGGGCTCCCTGGCTGAAAGTGTCCTCCGATTCCCCGCTGGGGTTCTGTTGTAGGCAGACATGGTGGCCACGTGACTGCAGCTCTTCAGCTGTGAAATGGGGTGATGGTGTAATACGCTGAAATGTGACTTCATTCAAGTTCTTTGTCTGTTTCCTGTCGTGTAATTAGTGTGTTTGGTTGTCCTGGTGGAGTGCTGCGTCCACAACTACCAGAAGCTGCCCGGCTTTGTTGTTCTGACCGGAGTGGAAGCAGGGCCACAGGAGCCGCAGCGTTGTCCCTTGTTGTCTTGGAGGTGGCTGCGACTTCCGGTCATTCTGGTCAAGGAACCGAATGCTTCCAAAGTGTACCCTTACCCCTCTGCTCTCCAGCTTTCCCTGTGATCTCGTCTAAAGAGAGGATTAGCAGCTTTGACCCCTCTTTCACAGCTGACAGTGAACTCTGCAGGCGTCTCTGAAGCTTGCATCCACTGAGCCGTCATTCGCTGGATTTTCACAGCAGTGAGATGGCGTGGTATCTGAGCTGGGTGTTTAAAGTCCATCGCTGACAGCGAAGTGCTGAGTACAGGAGGCGGCTGGAAGATTTCTGTAACATCTTCTGGATTGGAAAGTTGACAGGCAGCAGCCGATTTGGGAACCACAAAGGGTGGGAAACCTGCGACAGCCCTGTGCATCTTGCCCGCCTGCTTCTTCCGGAATCTGCATAGTGGAGGACACTGGCTCTGTCAGGAGGCACAGTGTCTGGGAGGCCTGTCCTGATGGCAGCAGCTCCAGAAACTGTGCACCGCGCTTCTCCTTGGACCTCAGAGAAGACTGTGTGGGATCTTTGTCACCAGCTGATAGGATTTCAGAATAAGCTTGGTGTTCGCCTATGCAGAGTAGCATCCGATCGAAGACTGGCTCCTCGAGGCGTGCATTCTGAAACTCTTCATTGTGCACACCGAATATTACACCCAAAGATGAATAGCAGACCCAAAGACGTTAGTGGTGGAAATATTTAAAGGGGGAATTGGCCCCACCAGATGTTTTAATCTCGTATGCTTCTGAATGCCATTTCCCTTTACCTCTTGGCTTTGCGTGATTGGTTGGCATAGCGAGGCTGTTCATCAGTGACACCTGCCCTGGGCCAGTCTCGCCTCACTTGTGGGTGAGTCTGCCTGTCTCTCCTGTGTCTTGATGATGAAGTGGCTATGCCTGTGTGAATGTCTAATCCAGGTCTTGTCTCCCACAGGGATAGAAATACTAATAAGCAGAGACCATTATTGTGTGCTACTAGAAGTAGTTTTTTTTGGCAGTGGGGAATAAACTGGCCTCCCTTCACAGAGAGGTACACAATACGAGTGGGCCACAGGGCGAAAAGAGGACTGCAGATGGCCCCCGTGATTGGGAAGGACCGTCCAAGGGCAGGAGGGTGCGAGAGTGGGAGAGCTCTGGCCGAGTGCAAGGAAGCTGGTGCAGCACTCGTACGTGAGGTCCGTGGTGGAAAGGCGGCACCCGGCACCTCCTGCCTTCCGCTTCCTTTTTTTTGGGGGGTGGGAGGGGGCAAAGAGATTAAAAGTATTTATTAGGGTCAGGAACCTCCAGCCAGAGTGGCATGGAGCGGGGCATCCAAGAGAGGAAAACCCAAAGGGGAGTGGTGGCAGTCAGCTTTAAGTATAATTTCCAAGGGAAAAAAATGTAAGGATCAGATTGGCATTCTGTTACCAGACAGGGACAAGATCCATCAAAAGACCTCATTTACGCTTCTCCCTCCTGTCTGGCCTGCTAAGGGTGGGAAGATAAGTTGTTCTCACCATAAGCTGTGAGCTCTGGAGGAGCTCCCTTGCTATTCTAACGGTAAATTCAGATTCCGAAGGAAGGAGGGCAGCCTGTCAGTTCTTGCTAAAGATAAAGTTTTGGGGAAAGAAGCAAGTATTTTACACCCTAAATTCCACTGGGACCCCTGACCCACCTGACCGCTCACGTTCTCTCCAGGACGGACACCCTGACATCTGTCAGTAGGAACTGGGTGCTGATCGCTCCGGCTGCTTCACGCGGAAGAGCGGCATCTCTGGGAAGGGGAGTCGAGGCAGGGCCGCAGCAGGGGTGGCTTCTCCAGGGGCTGCATGCCAGCCTGCAGAAACTGCTTCCATCTGAGGCCTCTTGGCACGGCCACCTAGAATTTTTTAAGTCCAGAGAAAATGAATCTAACAAGCAGTTTAAACTCACAGTGAAGTAGGTAAGCATGCAGGTTCAAATTGATTAGGTTTGTGAGCTGGAAGACCATGCCCTCACCACGCCCCTGTGTGACATCATGCCCCTACCTGGCCACACCTGAGTGCCCACCAGCCAGTCAGGTTAATTAACCACTCCTCTTTGGAAGTGGATTAAGAAGCCTGGGACAGGGTGGGTCTGGCCCTTTCCTCCAAGGCACATGGCCTATGCTTCCGGGCCTAGACGCTCTTCCACATGGCTGGTTCCTGGTACTTGGTATGAACCCAGATTTCCCCCTCTCTCTTAGATAAAGCCCCCAGTCTTCTATGCATCTTTCACACTAAATAAAAGCTTAAATGTACCATGCTGCCTCCTTCATTTATGCCAGTGTTTAGAATTCTTCTCTAAATATTAGGCAAGAACCCACTTGGGCTTATTAATATTTGGTATTTATTAATAAGCATATGGTGATATCGTATGGCACCCCAAATTTCGATAACATATGTGGCACCCCAGACTCGACCTCTGGGAAACTTTTTTTTTTTTTGGACAGGTAGAGTTATAGACAGTGAGAGAGACAGACAGAGAGAGAGGTCTTTCTTCCATTGGTTCACTCCCCAAAAGACAGCCACGGCCGGCGCTGCAACGATCCGAAGCCAGGTGCTTCTTCCTGGTCTCCCATGCGGGTGCAGGGCCCAAGCACTTGGGCCATCCTCCACTGCCCTCCCGGGCCACAGCAGAGAGCTGGACTGGAAGAGGAGCAACCAGGACTAGAACTCGGTGCCCATATGGGATGCCGGCGCTGCAGGCGGAGGATTAGCCAAGTGAGCCGTGGCGCCGGCCCCCCTGTGGGGAACTTTAAGGGGCCACATTTTGGTTCATATTTTAGGAGGTCAATTCTGATATCAACAAGATCTAAAACCAAGGACAGAGTCATTATGAGAGGCCCTAAGAAAAGTGTCTACGTCATGAGCAAGTTTTTTCATTGAGAGG